AAAAACTCTCTGAGAAACAAAGAAAACAAAATGCTACCCGTATTTTCAAAAATAAACAAAGAGCAAGAAGAAAGCTGTATTTAACCAGCTGAGAAGTTGTTTAACACATATCTGAAAAGAAATGATATTGCATATCAATTAAGTCACCATTTGTTAACGGTTCTAAAAAAAGAATCAAGAAAATTTCTTGATAACTTTGACATCGAAGATATCAAACAATGCTATCAAGTGGAGAATTATATCTTTATTAATTGCTCATGTTGTTCAGAATTATTCATCGAGGACATTAACGATCCCAACATAATTGACAAGTTATGTAATCAATATTCTTGGTTATTTTGAATAAAAAAAATAAGATATTTTTATTTGTATAATGATAAAAAAATATTCTATTTTTAAAAATCATCTAGCTTTACATGTTTTTCTTTTTCTCTATCAACTATTTCTGTATCATCTATTTTACGTTTAGTGCTTGATTCTATTTGTGGATCTAATACAGTAAAATTAGACAATTTTACTTGTAAATTCTTGTGTAATGATTCTATATTGTTTGGAATAATAATATTAGATAGAAGATCATCATTCCAATACTGATTGTAAACAGTAAAACTGTAATTGTCAACATCTACATTTCCAATCACACTACCCAATACTATATTCATATCTATCTTCTGTTTCATGAAAACATCACCATCATGTTCATACAAATTCTCAAAATCATCATCGTAAACGTATTTCTTTGCCTCTTCCAAACTAATATTCTCAGCAAATTTAATATCAAATCTACCATTAATAAAATTTAACAAATCTCCTGCCTAATATGGTTTTAACCAATCAATTCTAAAATTAACTATTCTTTCCTGATATCAACCCAACATTTTTATGATATAACCATGTGTATAAACTCGCGATTTTGAAAATCTTCTATACAATGCAATTTTCGACTCTAAGCTTTTAATTTCTTCTTGATCAAATACATGCTTTCTAAAAGTAAAAATATCCTGAAATGGATCTTGTGCTGAGAAAATATTGTATTTAGACACGACTTCTACAGGTTTTTTATTCTTTCGACCGATAACGCATTTATCTTTCTCACAAAGATTTAACAAATCTTGAAACTTCCAAGTGTCATGTGATAGTTCATGCTTGTAAATGATCTCGTTATTGTTGTAATTATCAAAATATTTTTGATCATTTGCTTTCTTACAAGCTTCTCGTCCTTTGGCAAGTTCTTTGACAAGTCTTTGAATAATTGTTGTTTTACTAGAGCCAAAATCACTATAAAAGTAAAAGTTCTTTGGATAGAATCTTTTTTTAGAAATGTATTTCAATCTGTTTTCTAATTCTTTTTTATCCTTTGCCATCTATTTTACAGCTGAATATGAACTATACCAATCAGTTGGTTGTAATTCTAGATGTTAAAGAATATAATCAGGATCAAGTTGTTCATCACACATTTTCTGTTTTTTATACTCATTGTCTAATCTTATCATGTTGAGCTTATCAATTGTGTCATCAGATGAACCTTCTAATATTCGAAATTTTCCAAAAATAAATGGTCCTGCACTCTCCTCTTCCAACTGTTCTTTTTTTCTTTTTTCAATACAAGATCTCTTGCATAAAGTACATTTACTAATATCTTCTTTAACCAAAAGACTACACTTACAATACTGTCTTTCTTTTGGTTTGTGATGAATTGTACAACGACCCCATATTTTTAACACATAATCTTCATTATCCTTTGATGTTTCTTTACATAAAATACTGGGAGGAAATATAATTCTCTCACATTCAATCAACTGTTTAACAAATTTTATTGAGACTTGTTTTTTAAATGCTAAGACACAATGTGCATGAAGTTTTCCCTGGTTCGATCTTTCAAATTTTGCCACCGATCTTGTAACTCCACTTGCTTCTAACTTGTTAAACTCCTCTTCAGTTTTTGGAAAAAACCATTTACATTCAATTCCATGATCTTTGCAGTTTGAACATTCAATATCTTTGCATTTTGCAAGCATGCAGCATTGTTTACATTTGCTGTTTTTACAATGATTATGAAATAATTTACAAAGAGAACATTGTGGAAGAATGCCAGTTTCCTTAAATTCTTTTTCTCTTTTTTTTCTCTCTTTAATAGAAACTTGATCTTTTTTTTTGTATTGATACTTCTTAAGACAGTATGTATAATGAAATGAGTTAAGCAAAGTGTAGATAAACTTAAAAAGACCCATTGTTTTTGGTTTATTATTTGGTTTTTTTTTTTAATTTTAAATTGTTGTGAAAAATACATAATTAAATCCTTGAATGGTTCGAAATTTCGAACTATTCAAGATGATTTTATTAAAAAATACAAATAATTATTTTATATTTGTTATACACGGATTGTTTTTTACTAATGAATCAATATTATATTTTTTAAAATCTAGCTAGTTTATTTTTTTAATTTCCGCCTTGTAAGATACATCAATTAAATCAACATCAAAGAGAGTCTTGATGCTTGTATCAAATTGTCGATTGAAAACAAGATACACATGAATGCTTTTTTCTTCTTGATAAATAAGATACAAATGAATGATTATATTATTTTCTATACAAATGAACCGTAAATGTTGTAGTATATCTTTCAAATCGAGTTCACATTTGTTGTATATTAAATACATTACTCTACAAAAAATACGAAATTTTTGTGTCATTGTTTTTTGATGATCTTGTTTTTTTTCTCGACGGATACATGATCTATTTATAGTATTTGAATGTTAAGATGACTGACGCATCTAGATAGACAATAAATTAGACAATAATTATTAATACATACAGATAAGAATGAAAAAATGTTATAACTTCACTTAATTAACTCCAAATTTTATAAAATTTCATCAGGCAAAACTTGAGAATATGCTTGACAACTCTTGTTAATACGCAGTTGTATGTTTAAACTGAACTTGTAAAAATCTAACAATGGTACCATGATTTTTTGTCATTTCATCAAAAATGCAGAATGTCAATTGAAAGACAAACGTAAAACTTGAAATTTCCACGAGTTTTGATCCAAATAAGCTCAAATTTCACAGGCAAACTCTTGAATACTATCTCTAAAACTTTGTTAGAATCGTACAACATGTTTCATTTAACCGTTAGCTCGAATCGATCGATACGCTTTTACAAACAAAAATAAAAAATTTGTCAGTAGTTCTCAATACAAAAACGTAAATAACTTGATGAAAACACACGCAAACAAGCTGAAAATTGAGATTCTAGCCCTTGAAAATCATGCGAATAACTTTTGTTAGAGACGTAAAGATCGTTTTATTTGAAGAAAGTGGTCTTCTGATCGATTCAATTCTGTCAGCAATTTTGCGAAAACGTATGTATGAAATGAAGAGAAAAACATGAATATCTTCGCGAATATCTGATGAAGAAGGTTAAAAATTGAGATTCAGATAGTCCGATATCCCATCCACAAGTTTATTTAGACACGTAAAGGTGGTTTTCTTGTGAGAAAGTTGTCAAAAGTTACGTTGTAGTTTGGGTTATTGTGCCAGAAAAACTAAAAAAAGGATAGACGTTTACTCTAAAAAAATTGTTTTTAACTCATAAATATATGTTTTTTTACTGTCGATCATTTTTGAGTCAAAAAGGGCTCACTAAGATCAAAAAGGGCTTACTAAGTAGAGTTATTAATAAATCGATAGGTCAAAAAGGGCTCACTAATTAAAATGTCGATCACTACTATGAAAAACATATAGTAAAATGGGTCAAAAGGGGCTTACTAATTAAGGGAAAGTTAGTAGTAAGCTGCAGTAATTTAATCATGTAATATTTCACGCTCATGCGATGTAACAAATTTGTATTCATACGTTGTATTTATATGCATGTGTATGTCACATTCCCACGTGGAGCCCGCGTTATATCTGTATTGTATGTTGTATTCATACGTTGTATTCGTACGTTGTAACAATATGCAATTTTACACCTGACCATGCAGTCATGTGACAATAGATGTAACTGGTTCCACTATCCCTCCATTTGGTAACTATACCAAATGTTGGGTCTTTTTTAAAAGAAATACTTACCCCTAATAACCTTACAATTAATAGTCTCAAAAATAATAAAATCTTATTTATAGAACAAATTACAACTGCAAACAACAAATTTCTTCTATCTTGAAACAATATTTATTTTCAAACAAACAAAACAACTAGAGATCACCAATCTGTATAGTTTATTTGTCTCTTACAAATATTACAAAACAACTCTCTATAGTCTACATGATCATATCTTAACTTATCTTTAACAAACTGCTTTATTAATACAACTAATCTTATATCTTTCTTAAGTACAAATTTTTCTTTTCAAATTTTTTTATTAACCAAAATAGAATCTTTATTTAATATTCTAACTCTCAATATATACTTTCATACAAAATTGATCAAACAAACAAATTTAATAGAAATCTTTAATTCCTTATTTAACTTTAGTTTTATAAATCCGCTATACAAGCAAATTAAGTTTAACAAATCTTACTTACAAATAGACTATAAAGAAATAATAGCTATAATTGAAATTATCTCCAATTTAAACCTAATCCCAACCTCTATCTTACAACAACTTCAAATTTATATTTTTTCTTGTGAAATATAATTAATACATTATATAATCAAAACTCTCTATTATCAAAACTTATTAACTCAAATATATAACAATATTACAAACTTAAATATATCTAGATTTCAATTCTATACCAATACTTCTATCAAAAACTTTCAAACTTCAAATCTGCAATCCAGTATTAGCTAAATCTGTAAAAATGATTTATCTATTAAATTCAATATAGCAATTCACCCCTCTCTAAACTTCTTCTATTCAGAATTAAATATAGTTATTTCTCTTCTTCTAGTTCTATCAATTAATTTTATAAATACTATCCTCATTAACAACTTAGTAGCAATTAATAACTTGCTTAACCTTTTATTTTCTAAACTTATTCAAAACAAAAGCTAGAATATAATTACAATTATTAATTTTATTAAACTAAACAAAAATATTTCTATTATTTTTGTTAAAGTTAAATCATACTCAAAAAACTTTATTCACAATCAGGCTAATCTATTAGCCAAACAAGACTTGGATAAACCTATTCTTAAAATCTCTTATATATATTTTAACCTTCCTATTTACTTCTTTTGAGACAATTATATTATAACTTTCAAAACATACTTCTTTATTAAAAATATTATTACTATTAAAAAATTTATATTCTGGTCCTCTTTCAAATTCTTTTTTTTTTTTTTTTAAATATTAAGGTGAGGCCTTGCTCATATCTTTATTAAGTAATTTATATAAGTAATTACATA